CAGCAGGGGCCTTGCCGCGGGCGCTCAAGGGTTGAACCCCGCTGGTGGCCCAGGATCGGCCAGTGCGAAACGATCCCGCAATCGAAAAAAGCCGCTGATCGTTGAAGGTTGAACGATCCTTTTTTGGTCGCGACCACGAGACAAGGGTCAGGCGGCGAAAGCAAAGTCCGGGGCGCGAGCGAGGCTAATTAGCTACAACAGGCAGACCGGCCGGCCCACTCACAAAGCAGCCGCGAAGCTGAAGTGGAGCTGCCGGCGGGGGGCATCCTGAGAGCTCGAGCACGTGCACAGGAAAGGTTGAACGATCCACGCGGCGTCAGAGACCAGCGCCACGGTCGTCCAGGCACAAATCAGCCGTAAGCTCGTGCAACAGTTAAGTACGCGGATGGGGGTCCTTCCTCGGAAAGGGGGGACCTCGCTGGACGCATGTTTGAATTGTAATTCCTTTTGAAAGTGGGGCCCTCGCTAAGAACGGTAGGCTCTATTGCCCTGGTCTTTCAAGATGCTGGTCTTCCAAGGGGGCGCTTCTGGAATTGAGAAGGAGAGTGGGAGAGTATGAGGAGGGGACTTGGGACGGGAGGGTGCATTGCAGCATCGTTGATGCATCTTTGGTTCGCTATGGTCTTCCGTCTCGTTGGCACGTTCGGAGCAAACAGGTCATAGCAGCACTTCGATGCAGGAAGGGTTGGCTCAGCCTTGCCATGCCGAGGTGAACACCATCACGGAGGAGGTCAGCCCTGTCCCCTCCTTCATATCGGTGCACGCCGGCCCCAGACATCCGTTCTGAGGGGACGCCTCGGAGAGCTCAGCCGGCAACATGGTCTGAGAGGGGACCGCACTCAGCCTGGGGATGGGAGCTGAGGAGGAGGAGGAGGAGGAAGAGGAGGAGGACGAGAGGGGGACGAGGAGGAGGAGGAGAAGGAGGAAGAGGAGGTGGAGGAGAGAGGGGAGGAGTAGGAAGGAGGAGAGGAGGAGGAGGAGGAGGAGCATGGAGCAGGAGTAGAAATTGAGGAGCAGGAGTAAAGAGGGGAGGAGAGGAGGAGGAACGTCGAAAGGAGGAGAGGAGGTAGGAAGGAGGAGGATGAGGAGGATAAGCAGGAGGAGGAGAGAGGAGGAGAAAGGGGAGGAGATAGATGTGGAGGAGGCGAGAGAATGAGGAGGAGTAGGAGGAGGAGGAGGAGGTAAACGGAGGAGGAGCAGGAGGAGGAGCGAGCAGTAGTAGTTAGTAGTGTAGTAGTAGTAGTAGTGTTAGTAAGGTAGTAGTAGTAGTAGTTGTAGTTAGTAGGGGTAGTAGTTGGTAGTAGTAGTAGTAGTAGTAGTTAGTTGTAGTAGTCAGTAGTAGTAGTAGTAGTAGTAGTAGTAGTAGTAGTAGTAGTAGTAGTAGTAGTAGTAGTAGTAGTAGTAGTAGTAGTAGTAGTAGTAAGTATTGAGTAGTAGTAGTAGTAGTAGTAGTAGTAGTAGTAGTAGTAGTAGTAGTAGTAGTAGTAGTAGTAGTTAGTAGTTAGTAGTTAGTAGTTAGTAGTTAGTAGTTAGTAGTCAGTAGTTAGTAGTTAGCGGTTCGTGGTTACTAGTTAGTAGTTAGTAGTAAGTAGTAGTGGTGGTAGTAGTAGTAGTAGTAGTAGTAGCAGTAGTCGTAGTCGTAGTCGTAGTCGTAGTCGTAGTCGTAGTCGTAGTCGTAGTCGTAGTCGTAGTCGTAGTCGTAGTCGTAGTCGTAGTCGTAGTCGTAGTCGTAGTCGTAGTGGTAGTCGTAGTGGTAGTGGTAGTGGTAGTGGTAGTGGTAGTAGAGTAGTAGTAGTAGTAGTTAGTAGTCGTAGTAAGTAGTAAGTAGTAAGTAGTAAGTAGTAAGTAGTTAGTAGTAGTAGTAGTGTTGTTAGTAGTAGTAGTAGTAGTTTTGTAGTTAGTAGTAGTTGTAGTAGTAGTCGTAGTCGTAGTAGTAGGTTCGTAGTAGTTGTAGTAGTAGCAGTAGCAGTAGTCGTAGTAGTAGTAGTAGTAGTAGTAGTAGTAGTAGTAGTAGTAGTAATAGTAGTTGTAGTAGTAGGTAGTAGTAGTAGTAGTAGTAGTAGTAGTAGTAGTAGTAGTAGTAGTAGTAGTAGTAGTAGTAGCGGCCGTCGGCGTGGCAGCGGTACAAGTACTGTGAGTACGAATGCTTGTATCCATATCATGCCAGCAGTAGTTGCGGCCCGCTTCTTCCCACGGCGGTGCTCGCCCTCTCGCGGCTTGGCTCGATCCTTGTGGTTGCCCTCAGGGTGATTGCTCCGCTGCCGCCCCACCGGCCCCTCGGCCTCGCCCGCCTCCATCCTGGAATCCAGGCGTTCCGCGACCTACTCTGCCTTCCTTCTCGCCGCGCCTGCTCCTTGCTTGCGCGCGGGGCCCCTTCGTCCACCGCCCTCGCCCTGTCGTTCGCTCCGCCGCCCTTGCTGGCTTTTCTGGCCTCCTGTCCTCGGTCACGCCTGGCCGCCGGCCTCCCCTCAGCCGGTCCTGCTGCTCGCGGGCCGCGCTC